ATTTATTATATATTTTTCAAGTATGTATAACTTTTGTAGTGTATACAAAGAAATTAAATATCCATTATTCGAATTATAAAAATCCCATCTTAATAATATTTAATATATATAAATAAAATTCTGATATAAGGAGTAAATATAAATAAGTTGCTAAATAAAATTGTACAATATTTTAATACACATAAATTCTAAAAATAAAAATTGAAAAATTTAATAATTTAATTCATAACGTTGAAGCAAATAATATTTAATAATAACTAATATTTAATAATATAATAATAACAATGTAAATTAATTTCAATAATTACAAATTAATAATAATTTGTAATATGTTAATAATAATGGAAACTATTGTGCACAAAATGTATTCGTCGTTCTGGCTTGTTTTATCAAGACCGGTTCGAAAGATACAGATTGAAGCCGTTGACAACTCAGAGATCACGGATGTTATGTGATAGCGATGTAAGGTCAAAGTGGAAGGGATATTATAATAATTCAATATAAATATATCTAGTAATTTATGCTGTTTATTCTATTATTTATCTGATTACAGAGCGTTGACTAATATTACTTTTATCAATTATTGAAACTCTTGTGGTGGATGATTGTGTTTGCTGTGGCAAACGTACACTCGTCTAATGCAGCGTGATATTTCGAATATGAGAGCAGTATCGCGCGATGTTTGATTCGTCATCACTCGCGCTGTTCGTGTGAACACGTGCGTAGTTGAGGTTATGGTTGTAATGTAGCGCGACACATGCAACTGTTATTATTGAGAATATACCCGGGTTGTAGCAAGCGTACCTTAATCCTGGTATTGGCGTACTGTAATAGTTTCGCACTGAATTCTTCTATGAGAGGACCTCTATTCCTTATGGATGCTCGATGATGACTTATGCTCTGAATCTTGACTTTGGGCTCCGAAGGGGGAATTTATATGTCTCCTTTCCTTGAAGACTTGTAATGAAAGTTGGCTTTGAACTACGTTTAAGGGACTTCCACTTCCTATTTAACTAAGGACTTTATCGAGAGTGCTTGAATATTGAAAATGTGCGTCTTAAACACATTTGCTGGTCACGAACTTCACTTGAATCCCTTCCCTTATTTTTTGTCCAATCAGAGTGTTCCTCACTTACAGAGCGAGGGCAGCGCCTCTTGTGGCTTCACAGTTAATTAAAGGCGTAGTCGTCCCTTGGTCTTCACGTCAAGAAGAGCTCTCGTTGCCTCTCACGCATCTGGCGACAGTATAACTTGGAGACAGAAGGAAAGGGAAGGCCAGTACATACCGTTTTGAATTTAGTTACTGAGCGGAGCGAATCCGTATAGATGCCTAATGAGTTGGGATTTCCCGAGTTTATTATCTTGTTTTGCCAGATGTTTTATGACACTATTGCTAGATGGTTGTGAGCAAGAAATTTCCGAAATTTAAAACGACAAATTTACGATGTTTTACCAGATGTTTTATTCGCAAGGACCGTTCTTACAATCTTGAACATTCCGCCCGCCACCAGCAATTCTATTGATGATTATTCTTTCTTTTCATAGATGGGGAGAACTGCTAGTTTATGTATAGGTCGTACAATGGTTGTCGACGCTGTTTTTACTGTGATTACTCTGGTCAATCCGTCCTTCTTAGGGTGGAGGATAAGTACCTTATCAAGGGGCCATTTAAATAATGATTGCTGTCGTTGCAAATAGTGTGATGACCATTGTGACTAGAATTACTGGACACGTTGCTGAATAAATTGTCAACGGCGCAAGACAGATATTAACAATCCTTCTAAAGATGATTCAGGTATAGTTGTAAGTATATCCAATAAGAAAATGACCTGGAGTTAGTGCAGAGCAGTCATCTGGATCGTCACTCAAGGACTCTAATTGCCTCAATTCGAGACAATGGAGTCGTAAGTTCTTCAAACGTAAGTAGCGTTTCTCCAATTGCGCATCTCAAATGGAATTTTGTGGACTGAACTACTGCTTCCCATTTTCCTCCCATGTGAACTGCAGCTGGTGGATTGAATTTCCATCGAACATTGTCTTGTGAGATCAGTGCCACAATTTTATGATGTTCCTCTGAGCTTCGTGAGAATAATTTTTTTATTTCCTTGTTCGCTCCTGCAAAGGTGGTACCACCAACTGAATGCAATGTGTGGGGGTGCCTCTGCGGGAAGAGAATTTCCGATAAGCGGCAATGAATCCTTCTGTTGAGTAGTCGCTGACCACGTCAAGGTGTACAGCAGATGTGGTAAAACATACAAAAACACAAATCCATGCCTTTTGGGTCTTTGCACCTCGGCCTTTCCATGTTTTTAATGTTAGAGGACGGTGTTGCAAATGGTGTTGATGGTGTTACTCGCGACAGCGGTAATTGTCCCATCAGCTGTTGAGCACAGATTCCTCTCTGTCGTGCACATGTAGTACATCGCAGGGTGTGAGATTTTACAGCTTGTCGTCCTCCAATACTGCGGTCGTGTATGTGCTAGGGTGAGTTGGGCCTGGGCTATTATAAGATCCGACAATCGTGACTGGCATGGTAAAATTGCTGGGTGTTTTTGTTCGTATACTAGGGATGATTTTATCAGCCTTCCTACTCGGATGATTCCTTGCGAATCGATGTAAGCTGTTAAACGAGAATTTATAAATTTTTAAATTATAAATTATGTCCCAGTGATAGTCAGTTTTCTATATAGTAGCTGCAAGAGAGATGCCAGGGCGGGCTTCTTGTTTATACTGTTCGTCACTCTGCGTTGGCTGCTTTGGCCACGATTCTGGTGTCTGCATCCATGGTGATCCTGTCCACCATAGGTTATGATCTTTGAGTTGAGTGGTAGTCAGTCCTCGTGAGACACAGTTAGCAGGGTTAGACGTTCCGAGAACATAGTCTATTGAGAATCTGAGGTGATCTCTTGATTTGTGCTACCCGATTTCTCACAAAGTCCTTCCAACGCGATGCGTGGGATTTTATTCATGCGAGTGTTACTCTTGAGTCTGTCCACAAGTATGTAGGCGTTACCTTCATGTTTAGTGTGCTCTTTACATACAGCATGAGCTTTGAAAATAGCAATGCTGCTGCTAGCACCAGCTTGGGAATGGTAAGTCGTTTTAATGGGGCTACCTTGGTCTTGGAGCATACGAAGGCAACTTTGTTGGTTGGGTTGTGAATGACAAAATATATTACTACTGACATTGGCAATTGAGATGCATCAGAGAAACCATGCAATTCGACTGTTGATGCCTTCTCTGTGTTGAACCATCTTGATATTTTGATATTATTTAACTCCGAAGTAGTGTAATACATTTCATTATGAATATCCCAATCATCCTGATGATAAATATTATCATTATTCATAATATTAGAATAATAAAATATTGTATCCCAATATATGTTCTAATAAATGATATTTAATTTATCATTGTAATATACAGTGATCACCCAAATATTTAATATTATTGTTATTATTTATAATGTGTTAATTTTTACATAAATATTTATTATAAGCTACAGGTACTTTACATATATTAAAATATTCAAAATAATATTTGATATAGAACAAACAATTGTATTTTTATTTCTATTGAACCAATATTAGCATTTAACTGTTATTGCTATTATTGTAATATTGGAATAAGTTGCTGTAGCAAACTTTAGAAAAAACAGAGTACATTAAGCTTTCTTTCTTTTTGTATTTGCAAACCTTAATTATTTATTTTTTCAATGCACACCTCTTTTGATTATTTGACTTTAAATAATTAAAAAAATTCATGGTATCATGAATTATAAATATAAGCGGAACATTTTTTACATTTTAAAATAAGAATTAATTTTTTATTACATTTTAGAGTATTCATATAATTGCATAAGTTCTTAATCACGTATATATAATTATTAATACAAATATTAGAAACAATATTTAATGATAGAATTTGATTATTATATAAAATATTGTCATATGTGTGTATAATAAATATATCATTTTAATTTTTAATAAAATATAGAATATTTTTCTAAGAAAGAGAAATTTATAAAATTAGTGGATCAATATAAATTTAAATAACTAAGTAAAAATTAGGTTATTGAATTTAGTTCGTTTCAGTAATCAGAATGATTTCCAATAGAATTTACAGAAGAATAGATTTACAGAAGAATACAAATTATTTAATTCATTTCGCTAAAATAAAAAAAATATTTATAATGCACCTGGTGAATAATAAAGCATAATATTAAAATGATAATGTATGTCTACTTAATGATAATTGATTTTTAAAATAAATTACATCTTGTTATAGTATTATTGTCTTGTATGGTATGTAAAGTATATATGTACGTGAGTTTGTGTTCTTTGTTATCTTACATTGGAGCAAGCGATCAGCCATTCAAGGGCTAGATTGCTGAAAGTGGCTAACTTAGTTGATTTCTTTGGTTCTGGTATGCTGTTAAGCTTGTGAGAGATGTTTATCTTAAACATGTATTAAATTAATATTAATATCCTGAGAATTTTAAAAGACTAGTTTGCAATTAATGAAGTTCTAATAGTGTTAAATTGGATAATAAATGTTCGCTGTTATTAAAGTATAATTTTTTCACATTTTTTTATCTTCGAATACCGTTTTTTAATAATAAGTTAAAATAAGAATATAAATATGTATATTATATAATAATAAAAAATAAACTTTGTTTATTTCAAATATATTTGAATTATATTGTAAATTTATATACATCATTAAGAATGTTTTTGTACTTATATAAATATTTTATTTCTAGTTGATGTACACCAACTTAATATTAGAATTTACTCGTAAAAGAAATTACTATAAAAATCAGAAAATTGTTTAAAAAATATTTTATTGAAAATATTATTAGTATGCATAAATTGATTTCAGTTAAATTACACTTTTGTAATTGATATTTTTTCTACAAGGGCATTCATATTGTATTAATTGTCAGTAAATTACAATCTTCTGAATTATTGGAAAAAAATTTTAATTACTTTATCCTCTATTATTTAAGTTTTTTGGCTTTAATTATTTTATTAGTGTAGTTAAAATTTTTTCGTTGATGCATTTTTCTGTGAATGGTTTCTATACTTGAATCTGAAAAGTTAAAAAAAACTATTGAATTTAAATTTTTATAATTTTATATTATAATATATATATATACTACAATATAATAATTAAATATTTTATATTTATAAGTTTATATTAAATCATAAAAAATAACTTTGTGTTCGAGATTCACAGAATCTTTCGAATGTTATCATTTGGGGGAAAATCCCAACGGCTACCATTTCAAAGAAAAATTTCAACGGATATCATTTCAAGGAAATTATTCAACGGTCACAACCCCTATAAAAATTCTCCAACGGTCATTGTAGATTCGGAAAAGTCGGTATATCCGAAATGAGTGCACAATCATCCACGTTGTTTCTCGCACCACAGTCGAACCCATTGTTCTGGCGCTATGATCGACCCCTTTGTTGTCAGCTAACAAAGCTGCCGTATAGATATTGAATGCAAGCGCACCATGAGATAAGCGCTACTCAGTCATGAGCTAGTCAGCCAAGAATCATTCGGTCAAGTCGAATCAAGGAAAGCAGTCGCAAGCCTTTCCAATACTAGTGCAGCGATTGCACACACTCTCAGCAGAGCCGCTAAGGAAGGTGCACTGAACAGCTTCATACTCTGTTGCAGGTCTCAATCATACTAGGTGCAGCTGCAGAAGGCCCTTCTTATATTAGGTGCAGCTGTTACACTGAGCAGAGACGCTATGTAAGGCCCTCCTCATTTACTCTCCTTCCACAATACAAGACAGCTTGGAGGAGACCAGCAATCAAGCTACCACCATGTGTCATTACACGAAGAAGTGTCAAGAAACTTACGACCTCTCGCTCTCAGTGTAGAATTTCACCACCAAGTGTACTGCATCAAGAGGATCCAGAGACTTACGACCTCCTACCTCTGACATATGCTGACACCACGAAGCAACAACCAAGAAACGGCAAGATCTTTGAGTTCCTCGTAAATACATTATTTTGACAAATTAAAGTACTTTATGTAAAAAGATCAAATATCCAACACTTAAATAGAAGTTGTATCTGCCTTATTATAATAATTTCCATTACAAATAATTATAATTTCAAATATTTTACAACTGTTTGATGTTAAACATAAATATTATATCAAGAATTAAGTACTTTCTAACAAACCTGCTTTTCTTTTAAATATATAAATTAATACAGATTATAATTTCGTATTTATTGTATTAAAATAACATGAATAATTAAAAAAAATATTTATTATTAATAAAATTTAATTATTGTTCAAATAATTATATTATATACTTATTTTATAATACTTATTATCACGTGATTTAAAATATTTCATGTCCGAAATACATATTGGCAAATTTGAAACTTATACGATCTATCATATACTGTTTTATTTTAGCTTCCTTCTCATTTTACTTGTTACTGTAGTAATTTCTGTTTTAAATATATTTGTTAGTACTTAATGCACATATGCAAATATAGAATTAAAATAATTTAAAGTATTTATATTTTAATTATAGAAAGTCATTGGAGCTATATAGTTATATATGAATACATTTTAATTTATATAAATTGATATTGTTTGTTATGGACTACAGCATTTTTAAGCGGAATACAAAGTGGGAGAGGTATGAGCGCACGAAAACATTGTTTTGTAATTATTGGTCAACTGACTCAAGGAATGCTTCTAGCCGAAAAACTCAAACATATGACTATAATTCCGAGAAATAATAACAAATGAACCCTACAAAGCTATGCCCTATTGACGTCATGAAAAATAGTGGCGTAGAAACAGCTACCGAGAATATTTAAGGAGCTGCACGCGCCGCGATTCCTTCTTTTAGTAACAAGCACCCATCACGATAGGATCGCCACTTTACACTGGCAGTTCCCGCCAACACGTGTAAGCAACGCCGACGCTCGTTCTTGCATATTACCTCACACCGCGGTTTACGCCCACATCGAGCAGACGAACGTGCACCAATACCACCACTACCTTTGAGTTCACGGACACAAGCAGTGACGTCATACGGACATTCTCCCACCACTTCATACACTACAGCTCACCCCACGCCGGCTGCTAAGACGGCACTAACTTGCTGCTCTTACCACCATGAATCTCCCACTACGGCTACTCAACCCAAAGAAGAAGAGGAATCACCCTCCAGGCTATCAAGAACACACGTACAGACTTATCGTCACCACCACTATTGAAGAAACACTGATCTATTCATTCTATCATACACTCATACCAATATTCATAGATTATTAACTATTCATTATTTATCATATTTAATAAAAGGAAAGACAATAAACATTAAAGGCAGTATTGAATAATTGCATTGCCCCTTCCACTTGCCAGCAAGCCACCATCCACCATCATAAGGAGGTTTTTAGTCTGATCCCAGACAGTGTTTAAATATCTAAAATTTAAATTGTATAATTTCTGTGATAAATATGACTTAACAATGTAATTAATTAATATAAATAAGTTAGAATTTTCATTTATATGTACATTAATAATTTACTAAAAAATAAAATTTTATTACTTCTTCCTGAAAAATCCTTTACAATATTGACGACGTTGTCAAATTTATACTGTACATATAATTTATATGAAAGATGGTTTTTTCATAAATTTTTTAAAATGTATTTTTAAAAATTTCCATAAAATTTTCTATTAATTTTTTTATAACATTGGTTAAAAGCCTTACAGTTTTTCCTACTAGATTAATTTAGAAATTTATATTTAAATTTTATTTTATAATTATATTATTTTTTAAAGTACAAAATCAGATATACTAATTTAATATACAAATTATAATAAAAATAATTTCAATACACATTAATAATAATTTAATAAATTGTAATTATTATTTATTAATTATTAAATTAGAAAATTAATATTTGTTTCATAAAGTAAGACATAATTTATGTTTAATTATTGTCAATTTAAAAAATATAAAAAGTTAGTTTCATTTCTTATTAATTGTTTATAATTCATATTTATTCAATATATATTCGTTATGTATATATGAAAATATTATGTATATATTGACTATATAGAATATAGAAAACAAATATTGGTACAATAAATGAAGAAATAAAAATCAATCTATTAACCTGCTTAATATAACGTTTTAAATAAATAATTATAAAATTGAAATTATTACTTTAAATCTTCTAGTGATATTCACTTAGATGAGTATTTCAGCTAGTATGAAAAAATTTATAGTTTAATAGTTATAATATGATGCAACGTTATTTTGTAAACATTTAAAAAAAATTTGTTTTGTTAACATATTATTTCGTTCAATATATTATGGAAATCATTTTTTATACTATTAGTTTATGAGTAAAAAAGTATTTTATTGGAAATTGAATATATAAGTAAAATATATGAGAATAAGAAAAATTAGCGAATTTTATATTTTTTTATAACAAATCTGATTGACATGCCAAACTAAAATTAAAATATGTTAGTTGTCAGATGATTTAATATCAGAGTATTATTATATAAGTATATACCAATATCTATGGTCGTTCTTTAAGTGAAATTTTATGAGCAAAATTGGTTAGATGGATTGAAGGTGAATTTGCTCACAGATACATATCCTAGATGAGTATACTTTAATTCTTGTAATTGTTATCTATTTATTAAATAGTGATATTTTTACAAGAAAGAAATTTAGAAGATTATTACACATTTATATAGCCGTAAATTAAGTTATGTGGAATCTTCAACGGTATTTATATTCTAAAAATATTATGTTTCATCTATGAATTATTCTTTCTTTTTTAAAAATAGAAAAATGTAATCAAATCAGGACATATTTATGTCTTTACAATTTTTCAAAACTAATATAATGTACAAATAAATAATACAAATTGTTCTCAATTGAAATTCCTTGTATAATACAATTTCATTTGTATAAAGTAAATTTTACTTAAAGGTTGTAATATTATTTTATGTAGCATTCAAAAGAAGATGGATTTTTGCATAAATTCTATAAATAATAGAATGTCATTGAAACTAATTATAAGTTACTATAATAATAAAATTACAATTAACTGTCTACATATTTTGAATTATTAAAAGAGTGTTTGATAACTTGTAATGATAGTATTTTCTATTGAAACTTATAGTATTGTATACGGATTAAAAGAATCAGGGTAAGAGAAACATTTTCTGTTTTATACTTCTAATTGAAATTTAGATCTATTAAGACTATTAGTTATATCGCCATATTTGAACACTATTTTGTTATATAATTAATTACATAATGGAGTCGTTATCAACAATTAATATATTAATTGACTACACAAATATATTGACTACACAAAGCATGGCATCGGACTCTTCTACACTCGAAGGTATACCCTCAGTTTCATTGAGAATAACTATCACAGACCACATTCCCATAATCCCCTTATGAGTATGGTCGATTCTCCTTGCTAATCCCTGTCACATTAGCACAAACCACATTCCCATACTCCCCTTATGAGTATGGTCGCTTAAATCTGGTGGATCGTACAACGTTAGCATATACCTCAACCTAGCCATATTCCCTTTCAGGGATTATACAAAATCCATTGCTGATCCCTATAACGCCATCAACGACATCCACACCATCACTAAGAAGCAATTACATCATTGTGATAGAACATAATTCACTCTCTACTACGAGAAGTGAATTCAGAAAACAATAGTGTAATTGTCAAGAAAACTAAATAAATGTTGTTCTAACGAAGTTTACACACATTGTACATATTTAAAGCCCTTCCACTTATGTCCTTTCCTAAGCATCGCTAACGCGGGCGACAAATAAACTGAACTCTTGAACTTGACAGTTCGAGCCAGAAAAGTAAATTCATTTTGTTCGTGATCGGTACAGTCCCATGAATTTCAAACAAAAGAAAGGTCATACGCGCAGTCCGGCGTACAGCATGTGCGCCTAGACTGGCCCGCACGTGCGGACCGGGACGCGTACTCGAGCGAACGTTTACAAACAAAATCCGGCAAGTCCGAGCAAGTTTATGACATGAAATATAATTTACTACCAGCTCTCACAAAAAAGGGACGCTTACGAAACTTCTAGAAGCTTCGTTTTCTCACGCTACAAGGAATTTTCTGGAAAAGACTCGCATCGGCACTGTTGCCGGTGCTGCAGCCGCTGCATGATACAAGTGTATCTGCCGCTCAGTGTTTTAGTATACTGTGAAGACAACGCGTGGCAATATATTCGGCAGCATAGTTAAGAATACACGCGTACATAAGAACAAGAAATCGGCAAATTAGATAGTGATTACAGTGAAGCCAATGGAATAGTGATCAAAGGGGAGATCAATTACGCAGCAACTAATACATCTTGCCTGCAGCTCACAAGGTACATCTTTTTATATTAATAAATTAGTTAGTCACACCTCGCATATAACAATTTGGGCAAACTTACGCTACTTCAATCTTCCGAAGAGCACTTCGGAACCGTACAGGTCATCAACAGCTGACTTAAGAGTCGCTATGTTTTAAGCACATTGTCACAAAAGGACAACAATAGATCAACTAATATACTATAAATACAGATTATTACATCCTTCAAGAGTTAGAAATCTTACCATTAATCACTCTTACGCGTGACTAGCTCTACTACAGCTCCCTTTAAATAATAAAGATACAATTGATTACTTAATAAATTCCATTAAACATCATACACCATATCAAGTATAGTTATTCATACACCAAGCGTACTTGATTCAAATGCCATCTTCTCATGCTGCCTCACAAGCATGATTGACTGACTACATCAGCTGATATTTACATCATCGGCATAACCTCGATTACAAGACACGCAGTAATATCCATAAAATCTACGATAATCAAGAGTACAAGGATACACCCTCAGTACTACAATAGAATACTTCTTTCTCAACAGCCTTGCAGTATTATTATTATGATTATTAAAAATAATAAACGTTGTTTTACTAAATACATGATATTTTTCAGCCTTGTCACTTATTATTTCATTTAAAGTTATCCTGCCGAGAGATTAATCCACTGAACTATTGAATTGGTAGTTCGAGCCATAAGTTAAACCTTTAAAATCGAACACATTTTATCCTTCGAATCGGATCAAATTTCAATCAATTCGATCGAATCAAATCAAACAAACAATTTGGAACAGTTGATTAACATTAATATTTTCTATTTAATATTTTTTAAACAACAGAATATTTAGCAAAAAATAAATTTTATTAATTTTGTTCGAGAATGCGAGAACATTTTTTCCTTTTTTGTCAGTGCAATAAAACATCTGGCAAGTAATATCGTAAAATTTGTATTTGGATTTCAAACTTCGCTTGCTCAAATTTTCTCACGCATTAGTGTCATAAAACATCTAGAAAAACAATACCATAAACACGGAAAATCCTATAGTTTTGACATTTGCATTTTCGTTCCGCTCGGCAACTACATCAAGCATTACTGCAAGCGGACCCTCATTCCCTTTCCCGCTATCAACAAGTTGCAATGCTGTCACCAAATGTGTCAGCGAACCCCCCCTCGCCTTTTTTAAACTTATACATAAATTAATACATAATTTATACATAATATAAATTTTATAAACTTATTTTAAATGTATTGTAGTTATCTTTATTCTAAAATTTGGTTTATTAATAATAAACATTAATAATAATAATAATAATAATAATAACATAAATATATTAATAAACACACATTAATATTATATTAGTCATGTATTAGTCATTTTTAATAGTTTTTTAAGGGTGTTTTAGCTATATTAGTTTTATCCTGAAAAAAATTATTTAGATTATCATTTATATTTCGTAATATTTTATATGTATTTAAAATTAATTCGATTTCAATAAAAATAAAATTCATTTTGAAACTTGTAATATTCTACTAATGAAAATATAAAAACACTTACTAAAAATATGTATATTAGTATATTTTGTTAGCTTGATTAAAATTATAAAAATGTAATTTAAATTAGATATAAAATATTCGTTAAATTATTTAACATGTAATACTAATCAGCTTAAGTTATAATTGTAATAGGAAGGATCTTGGGGCATCTCACCTTATATTTGTTGCTCTATTTCGTTATGAAAAATTGTTATTGTAGTTTCTTGTTCCTGTGGTATATAATGGCCACGTATATCATTAAAGGTTCCTGGATACCATCTTGACATACGAATAAGACTTTGTTGACCTCGACGAGAATTTGTACGCCTATGGAATATTGCGAATGAAAAACTTGGACCTCGCTTATTTGATTCTGAGGTAGAGGATTGTTTTCGTCTCGATAAATAGCAGGAGCCGTAACAGCAAAATAAATATCTAAATAGAAGATTTTGTAAATTTTTCTTAATAGTACTATAGTAATTTCAATATTGTAAATATTCGTTTTTAAATTAAATAAAAAAATGTACTAATTCCTAATAATAGGATTTAAATTATTTATTAGAAATTCTTTCTAGTATAATCCAACTTGTTAGAATAAAGTAATTTAGAACACGTATTTGTTTATGAATTATGTGTATGTATAATATTTTATAGGTAAATATCTTTTTCAAAACTTTTATCATGTATTTATTTGAATGCACTTTTAACTAAAATTAACCCACAGACGCCAAGGAAAATTGTTATAGAGAAAATTCATCATTTATTATAATATAATGAATTATGTTTATGTTTAAAGATAATATTTGTTCAACATTCAGAATAACTTAATAAAGTATGTATGTGTAAGTATGTTTGTGAATATTTTTGAATGTATTGCATACAAATGAATCTTTTGATACAATCTTTTGATACCCGAATGCCGTAAATGTAGTGTAGGTGCTTAGAGTAGCATTTGAAGATGTATTATGACATTCTTAATAACATCAGCTAATAAGGAGATCCATGTCGAAAAGAGTCAATGCCGAAGTTAAGAGATTATAATCATTCAACTTTCTTCACATAAAACTTAAATCAACAAAAAATAAAATAATATGTCTTAAAACATATACTTGATTTTAGTATGGATATTGAAGATAAATAAGAAGTTATAAAATTAAGTTATAATGAAATTTATTGTTAGCCAAGGATTTAAATGAATGGAAGAAATATATAGATTTTTTGTCTTTTAGTTCATAATACATAATATGATTATAGACTGCAATCTTAATTAAATTTGGCAACAATTTTCGTAATTTTCTCTTTAAACTTTCTATCTTTTCTAGTATACCCTTTTATTTTATACTCTGGTAAATATTCGAGATGCTTAAACAAAGTTCTTTATGTTAGAAAATTAAATTTTTATAATTTGTAACTATTCAGTATTGAACTACCTAACAAAAAATAACAATTTATTGTTTGTTATAATACGATTTCGATACATTATATTTAGATTAAGACGCAATATTTGAATTATACGTTACGAAAAATTCACTGGAAATTTAGACGCGTACCTTGTCCACATAGCAACAAAAGAAGCTCTTCAAACGTATCAAAGCTTGCTTCCAGAGAATTCACTAGAGCCTCCAAGAAGTTACAACACTAAATGTACGCAATCGTATTTAAGAAGCAACGAATGGAGAAGGAAATCAGTCTTGTTGAGTAAGTCAAGTGAAATCAGTGCCAGTCATATCAGAGAAAGTTGAACTCTTTTAAGGGAATAAGTGCAAGGTATATTCATATTGTTTATATTTATATTGTTTATATTGTTATATTGTTATATTGTTATATTGTAATATATTGTTTATATTGATTATTCTATTATTGCTGGCCAGCTATCGGTGCGTCCTCCGCAACGTGACGATAATCAGACCGCATTGAGGACGACGACATAGACTGGCATCTCAAACACCTTATTAACACTACATGTAATTTTCGCGGCCCACGTCTACACTATCGGTTAGACCCTCGAAACTTTATTCTTATCAGACCGCTAAAAAGGGCGCCGACACTGACTAGTGGTCCCCGCAAGATTATTATTACACTCGCGGTCCGCACCTGCATTATCGATTAGGCCCTTGCAACTTGATTCTTATCAGACCGCTAAAGAGGGCGCCGATACTGACTGGTGGTCCCCGCCAAATAATTGCTGTGGCACTGCGATTATATTATCGGTCACGCTGCAACGAGTTGGTTCTGATCAAACCACAAAGGAGGGCGTCGACAATCCGTAATAGTCCCCACTACCTTCACGAGCCGAATCTTGCTCAATAAAATCTATCGCCGATTTAAACGCCTAAGCAGTCGCGAGCCGAATAACTTTTTCGTAACGTATAATTCAAATATTACGCCTTAATCTAAATATAATGTATCGGAATCGTATTATAACAAACAATAAAATATTATTTTTTGTTGGATAGTTCAATCCAGAACAAAATCTATTGCTGATCCCCATAACATCATCAACGACATCGCCACCATTGCGAAGAAGCAACCTCACCATTGCAATAGAAGAATTCCCTCTCTCCCACAAGAAGTGAACATAGAACTACAATAATGTAATTGTTAATAAAACACAATAAACGATGTCTCAAAACGAAGTTACACACTGTACATATTTACAGCCTTTCCACATGTGTCCTTTCCTAAGCATCGCTACGTCGAGAGACTAATAAACTGAACTATTGAATTTTGCAGTTTGAGTCATAAACTAAACTTTCGAACAATAGTAGATATTTAATAGATTTGTATTTAAAATAAACCCTAAAACATTGAAGTATTTCAATCATTTTATTGATTTTTCAATAATATCTAACAGAATTGTTTCTAGTAATTTAATGTGTTGAATTATTTGTATATTTACATTCAGAATTTTTTGATATATTATTAGAACAATTCAGTAATAATAAAAATAGTAATTACGAAAAATTTTATAAATTTGTGAAGTAGAATTTATAAATTAAAAATTAATCTTTTTACAGTTCTATAAAATTTTTATTCTACAGTTCTATACGGTTTTATTAAGCATATTATAAATTTTAATTGAATAAAGTGATTTTAAATTATATTTAAAAAATATATGGCTTTATGTGATAATATTGTTTTTTAATTATCTTTAAAAATTTAGTTTTTGGTAAAAAATTTCTATTCAAATTTGTTGTCCGTTTAATACATAAATAAAAAAGACAAATAATATCATAATTATTAAAGTCTAATAAATTTTTTCTATTTCCACATAATTATTTGCTTTTATTAATAAAAGCAAAGCCATTGAACTTTCCAATTTTACATTTATTTTCAAATATATGATTACGTATAAAAATATAATTCCCAAATAAACAAATTAATTCAAAATCCGTAGTAAAAGTAAAATATTATATATATTTTTTCAATGTTCTCATAGCTGTTAAAATTATAATTAGTTTTTTAGAATGTTTCATTTATCATTTTTAATATTATTATTTTTATATGTTTTTAAATTTTCGCTAATAGATTTGGTTTTAAATTATATCAAAGATCAAATGCACTTATAAAAATAATATGAAGTTTAAATGTACTATATATTTTTTAAAATTAAAAGCTTGTAATAGATTTTCTATTAACTGCAGTACTAATTCTAATGGATATTGTTTTTTGAAAATTCATAAGTTTTTAATAGTGATAATTATTATATACATAAGTTTTGTTATTAAAAAAAAAATATATATATATATATATATATATATATATTAAAGCATGATTTGTATATTTTGTTTTGTAATTATAATAATGAAATACAAAATAAATGAATAGGTTCAAAAAGCATTAGTCAAAAAGGACAATTATCGATTATGGTATTGTTATTATGTGTACAATTATAAATGAATACATTTCATAATACTATAGTCTAGCCACTATAGTGATATAATAGTTAATACATTTTATATATTTTATAACAAAATAATATTATTTTCTTATTAAATGTACTCTTATCAAATAAAAATGACATTTAAATGTTAAAGGTAAAAAATTATGCATATATTAAACATTTATAAACGAAGAACGTATTTAATGATTGACTTGGGTTTACAATTTAACTATTGTGATTTTTTTATATCTTAAAGCTGATCTGTTATCTTTAGGTGTAAGTATCATATCGTTAATGTTATGGTTTTATAAAGTGTATGAATAATATGATAATGGAAAAATGAACGGTTATCTTTTTAGAATAGAATTACCATAGATTATATTTCATAGATTTTTAATTGAATAAAAGAAAATGTTTAAATGGTATTTTTGTTGTAGTATAGTAGCGAGAAAATTAAACAAAACTATAAAAATTTTTTTTTAATTTTTAAAGTCTTCGTTTAATTTGGTAGATATGAAGATATAATTATTTTGAATTATTTTAGTATAAGGTATTTTTATCTGCATAGCAATATAGCTTCGTAATAATATTGACATCAGTAGTCAGTGAGTACTGCAGAATAATGAAAAATGAATGTTTTAAATACATAAATTCATATGAGTTGCATACGAGTATGAATGAGGTGTATTTTATGCATGAGGTATTTCTTATTTATTAAATTGGATGGTCTATTAAGAATATATCAAATTCTTATGTATAAAATTTCGTTATATTAAGAGGTAAAAGATATTTATATAAAATATTTAATAAAATGTTTAATGTACATACTTATATTAATTAAAATAATAATTGATATTATTTTTACAATTAATAAAGAGGTTTGACGAAGAAGAAGAAGAAGAAGAAGAAGAAAGAGAATAATTTTGTTGTCATACCTATTGAAGTATTTACGGAAGGTACCACTAACACAATAAAGTGCTATTGGATTTATACAACTATTCATAAATGCTAGACAGAATCCAAGAATGCGAAAGTAGTGCCAGAAAGCATTATAATCTTCTTGGGCGCTTGGATGAAGGTAAAACCACAGCATAAAAACGTGTTGAGGTAGGAAACACATAGCAAATACTGCTACAAAAGCCATCACCATTTTAGCTACCTTTTTACGGGCTTTTATCTGCTTCACCTATGTTAAGTAGTTTTATACATGACTATTATAAAATTCTGTATAAATGTACATATTTTATTTTAAAGGCATTCAAATGTATTTACAATGAGAAGAGACCTTGACATAATTCCATTTTTATTTATAAGCTTTCGAATATGTATATTATTATTTATATTATTATTATAAATATGAATTTTCTATAAGTAATATAGTACTATGCACCACTGTATCATTTACTATATTATTGATAATTTAAAAGTTCGTATGCAATTCCTGTTGATAATTATGCATTTAATAGCTGTAGAATATATAAATTGTTTATATTCACGGTAGTTACGGTATTTATATTTGCGCATATATACTCAAGTCATACATTCTTACTCTTTTGATATAAAGAACATCATGCAATTAAAGAGGGGGATATGAAATAATACGAAGCTAGGCAAGTATGCTTAAAATTTTTGCAATATAGTGGAACACATTGAATTTTATAGTAAGACAGTCAGTTATAAATGACAATTACTATCGAATCTGGCTGACGGTAGTAGTATTAATAACATATATTTAATTGGTATTAATTCCTAATATGATAACTTTTCAAAAAATACTTCGTATTTACAATTATGATTAAGGATTTTTTTAAAGGTATACGATATATTCCTAGCGACAAATTTATAAAATAAAATCGTTAATGTTAAGAATTAAATAATTTTATTAATTTTTTCAAACTAATGACAATTTTTGGTTACGATCTTATCGTTATTTTTCTGATTTTACTTATTATTTTTTTTATTATTACTTATCGTTTCCATTTCTATAATGAATACTGTGTTATTATGACAACAGTAAATATTTCCATTATTTTTAAAACCTTTACTAGAACTATTGTTAAAAGTATTTTTTTATATTTTTTGAAATAAGAAAATTTTTAAAATGTAAATTACAATCTATATATATATTTATACTTTTCTTTTATAATTTACAAAACTTTGAATTCTAAATTAGAATTATTTCTCGATTTTTCTTTTTCCAATTATATTAATTTATATTACAATTTAGTCATTGTAATGGAGTATTTTGTTTAAGATAAAAATATTTTTTGTAAAATAGAATTATATTAAAACTGTAGCCAGATAATCTATTTATATAAAAGCCTAAGTGTTGAAAAAAATGATAAAATAAAAGTAGTTTCTATATAGTTTAGTAATTTATATGGCATTCTTGGATTAATAATAATATTTTTTAGTCTGATTAATTTTAATAGTTAAATGATTTGTTTCATATGATCAATTATGGGTACATATTTGTAAAAATAATGTTGATTTACTATCATCTAACTATTATCTAGATATTTTTAAAAGTTATTAATTAATTTTAAAGTTGAAAACTATTTTTGAGAATGTTAAATTTGTTACAATAAAATCGTTAATAATTAATAAAATTTAATATAAATTTTGTTATATTAATTTTAAATCAAATGTATTTACAATTTGATTATTATTTTATTTAATCATTAACGACTATTTTATTTATTGAAAACAGTTACCTTGCTCAGATCTAATCGATATTATTTTAATTGTTATGTATTTATAATGATCCGAAAATTATCGATGAAATTACTCAATAAACTTTGTAAAACATATCGAAATTAATTATTTTCAACTTGTATCATCCTTTTTTTATTCTTATCTCGTTATTAATATTATTTTACACCTAGAGCATAATATTTTGAAGCATTCAATTATTTAATCCAAAGTCTTATTTTTGCTTGTAATTTTAATTAGAATACTAATATAATAAAATATTATTCTTTTAATTCTTAAATATTTAATAGTTAGCATTGAGACTAAAATATTTTTATTTAACACAAAATATTTACAGAATAAAATAATATCTAATAATAAATTTTTATTAAATTTCGATTGTTTTTAAATGCTAAATGACGAAAATATGCTAATAAAAAGTGAAGGTATTATATAATCGTCTATTTGAAAATTGTTTCTAATAATGTTTAAAACACAGTAAACATTTGTTATGTATTTTTAGTAAAATACCCCAGAAAATTAATAAAAAATTACATAAAATCATATGTATTTATAGCAATAATTTGATGCATAGAAGACTATTCTAGTTCTAATTTTCAAAAATTTAATTTAATTTATCAATATATTGAAGCATAATATTCTATTTTATAATCTGTTAAAGTTATTTTAGAGTGCCGGAAACATTATAATAATGAAATCTCTAAATGTGTATAGTACTTATAAGATGATAATTTTAGTACAAATAATATTTTTTTTATTTACTTGTAAAAATAAATAAAACTATGATAAAATGAAATTTTATTTAAAATTTAATATAAACTTAAATTATACTGTGATAATATATTATATTTGTAAGAGATAATCGAGAATTATAATCGAGGAGAGTGTGAGAGTAACAAAGTGAATGAACTTGTAAAGCGAGAGAAAGAAAGTGAGGTATAGCTGTAGAAAACTAATTTTCCGTTTTAAAGAAAAAAGTAAATTTAAAAATATTTAAAAAATATTGATAAATGCTGATATGTAATATAATCATATATTTCGAATGACTAATATTCATTTGTATTATATTTTATGAAATATAGTGTACTGTATTCGGTACTTTATTACATTTAATGTAAAATAATGAAAATGAAAATAATTTAATATACTATATAATATTATTTAATTTATGAATTTCATAAATGTTTGTGATAATTTTGTAAATTTGTTCACAATATATATAAATTTGATTATACAAATTATTATTATTACTGTTAATTGAATATTTTTGAATATAAGTATATATAAGAATATAATATACTAATATAATTGTATATAAGCAGTTACCTGTCCCTGCATTTCACCTGGAATATTTTTGGTACTTTGAACGAGATGTTGTGCCATGAGCATGTAGAAAACAGCTATAATACTAAGTGGAAATACATATAAGATACAGAATCGTCCAATAAGTACAGTTTTTGGATAGTTGGGACCAAACGTCTCCGGAAATGGATAACAAGTCTATAAAAATAGCTCATTTAAATATTATCATTTTTATGATTATGAAAAATCTATGCATATTATATTCAATATATATATTTTTATTTATAAATTATATTTATTTTTAAATTATAATAAAATAAAATGCTGTAACTTACCATAAATGTAATATTTTTATTCACTCTAAATATTCTTATATAGGAGAATGAAGCTGGTAATGCGCAAAATATTGCTAAAATCCATATTAATGTGGCTACTATTTTTGTAAACTTCGTTGCTCTATTTCCACTACCTAAAAATTATTTATAATAATGAATAGAAATTGCTTTGATTTTGTTTGAGGAAATCATTTAAATAAGTACAATTTAAAATATATTTATATATTATTGAATCATGTATTGAACTGAATGACATATTTCCTGGTTTAATAAGCGTATTAAAAAATATATATTATATATAATTCACTAATTAATATAAATATTTCACTAATTCATTTATAAAATTATAATGTAATCTTTATAAATAAAATATTTTAATGAGAAATAATTTTTGAAATGGTATTTTATAAAAATATACATAACTCAAATAATAAATCAAATAAACAAAGTTATTTAAAATTTTTGCAGATACATTTAAACAAATTCTATTATAATGTGGAAAATATTTGTAATGTATGAAACTAAGCTAAAAAGTAAGCTATATATAAATATATAAAGATGTAGATGACTGAAACATAGATATAAAAACTTGAAAACAATTAAATTAATTATGAATTATTAATTTTTCTTTTTACAATATAATATACAGATTTAAACTTTTCATGTCATATTAAAAAAAATTTCAATTGTAATTAAATCGCTAGATATTAAATTATAAGTTATATGTATTCAATAATTATTAAAACTCAATTAAGTTTATTTTTACAATTATAAATTAGAAAAATTAAGAAATTTGTTACTTGTTATAATGTATTTAACTGATTAAATTTATATTACTATAAATATTGTTATACTATAATAACGAATTAAATTTATTTTCTCGTATTTGTAGTTTAACAATATTTTAACCCATTTTCAAATTACGAATAATGAATAGTATGATTTGAATGTTAAAATCACTTAAACATTATTTGAATTCTAATAATTGTTAGTAATTTAAATTATATATATATACATATATCAACATAGTTTTATGTACAAAAGTAATATTTATTAATATGGATAAAATAAGAAAAAATAATTAGATCAACTAAAATATAGAAACGCAAATAATCTAAGAAAGAAAAGAAAAACAAATAATTGAAGTAACTTATAAGATCAAATATTAAATTAATATATAATATATTTAAACATTGATTTGTCATTTATTAAACAATTTTGTATATAACTAAAGTTATCAATTATGATATGTTCTTATGACAATATGTAAGTTTAAGCCTTGGCGTATACATAAGATAAGAATGAATGATTTTTGAAATCATTGGAAAATTATTGTAAGATTAATATTTTGTAAACAGTTTCAGATTTATAGATTATACATTAAATCTATTTTGCTATTTTTATGTATATTGAACATGATTTAAAGATTTTTCTAGGTAATTAATTTATATTATAAATAACAAAAAGTTTATCATCGTATATTTAATCAATTAATGTATTATAAAAAAAATAATTTTAGATAAATAATCAGTACATTTATAAAATTTTTACCAAAAAATATTAAATTATATAAATGTAACATTTATATAGTTTATGAACTAATTTCAATTATCACTAAATAAAATTAAATATAAAATAAATTAGTCGAATGAAGAAGTTAGTAATTGTGATAAAACAATAGATTACATAAAAAAATCATTTAACTGCTTTTAATCATTCATTTGTATAACAAATGTATTATGCAATGTAATGCATTGTTTAGTTTAATGATTTAACAATGTTAAAAAATATTTTTCACAATTTTTATTTTTATAAATTATACATTTTTATTGCAATGATATTTTTTCTAAATTCCAAATGATTTTGTAATCTATACGATGCTGAGAATATTATAGTTACAGTAAAGTAATATTGATTATTTGTTACAGAAGTATTAAGGAGTATTATAAAACCAGTTTCAAATAATAAAAATTATATATTGTGCATATATACCTGTGGCATGAAGTTTTCTCATAGGATCAACGATGGCGAAAAATCGATCAGCTGAAAGTGCAGTGAGTGTGAAGACCGATACTCCGATCGAGGTATCTTTAGCAAACTCAGATATTTTACAAAGTACCAAGCCGAATGGCCAAGAATCCATTACGTAGACTGTGAACGTGAAAGGGATGCATATCATTATGACCTATCAAGAAAAAATAAAGTTTTATACGTTTAGGATTAAAAAATTCTTTGAATGTTATATCTGAAATTCCTGAAGTAATAAGCATACTTTGCAAGTTTTTTATTAGAATCGTTTTTATTTTAATCAATTGACTTATATTTTAAGAAATAACTAGTATATAAAATGTATTACTGAGGTTTTACCAGAATAGTAATTTTTTATATGTAGGAATGCATAAATTTTTATGCGCACTTTGAAAATATGATTCACTATTTTTTAAGTTTAATACAACAAATTAGAAAAATATTAAAAAATTAGGTGAATACATACATACATACATACATGCATGCATACATACATATATATATATATATATATATATGCATCCATGTGTGCGCGATTATTATTTAATACCTTTTATTAACAAGTTTAATAGATAAAATTATATATACTTACTTTATATAATCATTAAGGAAATAAAATATTCCTTTGTAAATTCTCATGTAAAAATTTGATATCAGTTTAATATTATATAAATAATTATATTGTCATCATTATTATTAATTTTAATTTAGGTAACTTTATTTATTATATTTAAGGTTCTTAGAAGTAAAGAAATTATTAGATGTAGATTTAACATTAATTTCTGTTAGTTAAAATATTTTGTTATTATTTATTTAACAGAATAATAGTATGAGATCACAATGACTGTAGGGAAGAGTGTTTTTTATACTCACTAATAAATCACCAATAGCAAGTGAGAGTACGTATGTATTAGGAACATTTCTCATATTTGCATGTCGGCAAATAGTAATAACGAGGACACCATTGCCAATGACTCCAACAACAAGTATGCATACAAAGACGATGGGTACAATATATGTTTCTGGACGTTCTCCGTACGGTGTATAGTTCTCCTCTGAAAGTTCTAAATGTACGTTTTTATCTGTCACATTGCAGTCATTATTACAAACTGACATTATTGTAATTATTTTTTGAATTGGAAGATTTCTTATATACGCCGTTCGCTAGTATCTACCATCCGTATCATTGATGGCTTTGATTTCTGTTAACATCATGTTAGTAATTAATTAACTCACTATTCTTAATTTTAACAAGTCAATTTCAAATTGCTGTCTTGTTTTGTTGCTAATTGATCAGCTTTGACTATTTTATTTCTATAAATAATAATACAAAATAAGCTTAATGATGATTTTTCATTTGTTATGTGCGCCTTTTACTAAATTTTATATAAATATACACATATATGGATAATATGATCATAAATAGACTACTTTTAAATTTATAATATTCAATTTTTTAATCTAATATATAGTTAAATTATTATAAGATACTATATAATATTAAAAATGATTGTTGACTTTGCAGTAATATATTTTCGAAAATATTTTAATCCATTATAATTTATAATTTATAATTGTAATAAATTGTATTTAACATTTCAAGATTTGTATTTAAACTAATATTATTATCAATTTTGTTATATTATTAATTTCTTCAAATGATGTGACAATGACTATTACAGTTTGTTGTTTGTTTCAATTTTTTATTATTAAGTACACATTTATCATATTGCCAATATTAACTTGTTATACAATTAAATACACATTTAAAGTAGCATCGTGAAAAGTAAAAAAAAACATTAAATTCAAATAATAATTTTTTTATATTGTTGAATTTTCTGCTAGATTTTATCGATATTTTAATTTAAAGGAGTTTAAATTTACATATTAATGTTACAGAAGATTATCTTTTATACTCGTCATCATTAAGAATCATTAAGTTTGATTTATGTCAAATATGGAAAAATATGAATGAAAAAATATTTATGTGTAATTGTTTCATTATTTAGACTCATATGTTTGACAAATAAAACAAATTTTTTGAATGTGCATAATAATCTGTGTGAAAAAATTAAGTTTTTAATAATTTATAAAAATAATTAAAATTGTTAAAAAGATATATGCTCTTTACAAGCAAGCGTTATTCTATGTATATTTATAAACGAAGCAAGTGTTTACGTGTTAAAATTTGGTAATATGAATAATTATTTTATATAAATATATTTTATATAAATAATTATTTCAAAAACCTGTTGTTAGCTTGCAAGATTTATGTAAATCATGAAATATTTACATTGAATATATTTATTAGATTAATTAAATTCAATCAGAAAATTTTTAATAAACAAAAGTAAATGAATATTGTCATATAGCTTCTACTTATTTATTTAGTATATTATAGATATTCTTAAATTTTATATAACTCCTGAACTATCTGATTTATAAAGTCCAAATAATTTATAATCTGTTTTCTTTTATTACTTATTAAATGTATTAATTTATTACTATACTAATGTAAAATATCAAACTGATTTTTATAAATGTTCTTATTAATTTAAAAAAATAGAGACAGTGAAAAGAGTGCCGTAATATTTGGAATTCCAACCACCAGTATGATCGCAAATCAGGGTGGGTGGATTAGACCGTACCATCGGTTTAATGGCGATGGAGGGGGGATGAGTGAGAGGTTAAAGCATCAATTCAGAGTAAACACAATTGGTTTTAGCGGCCTTTATTTAAGCAGTTGTTACAGTGATATTGGTGTTACTGATTTTAGCGAGAATTGTTGAATTTGTAGTAATTAGGCAGTTGACCATTAACTTGGAACGTCGTCTGAAAGTGCAAGTCGAAAGGGTGAATTGGGAGTACTGAGCACGTGCTTTAGTCCCTAAATGAACGGAGTCTCTCTTATTCGAGAATCATTAGACAGTTGATTCGACCGTGGTTTTTGAAATAGATGTTTGTAATAAAGGAATTTTTGTGATTATAGATTTATAATGTTTATTAAATTTTTTTATTAAAATACAATTTATTTAATTATGTTCAAATAGTTTAATTACATTATAAATTTCGATATAATAAATTGAAATTATTGTAAATGTTATTTAATCAATTGCAGACATTTATGCTTGTACATATTATTTATAATTATTTCATTAAATGTGAAATTTTAGAATTATATTTAATTGATATCATAATTAATGTAAATATTATTTTTACCATCCGTAGTAATTTGTAATTATTTATATTTTTAATTTTTGCATATTTACCGAGTGAGGTAAAATAGTTTAAATTATTCTGATAATTATAATTTACTTATATTTTATATAATTTGAAATACATTTAAATATAATGTTTATTTTTTATCTATATCTGTAAAGTATTGATTAATTTTGTTATACACCATTTTCTAATATAAATAATTCATTGAAATATTATTATTAATTAGTTACAATAATTGTAAAGAACAATATAAAAAATATAATGAAATATATGAAACTTTATAATTATTTTTTATATTATCATGCATCTATGAATGTATTATATATTATAATATTAATATATTTTCATTTATATGACAATAATAAATACAAAAAGTATTAACAAATTTGTGAATATAAATCTTTTATTACATTCGATATTAATTGAATTACATTACCCTCGATACTACATTCAAATATTTTATATTTTTATATGTTGATGATTATTATCATTCATATATATTATTTTTTAATTTTGAAAACTATATTATTATGATCGTATCATTTTCGTCATGTTATATTCATCAATATTATTTGCTAGTTAAATTTTCTTTTAATAATTATACGAATTCATATATAATAAAGAATATTAAAATAAAAATGTATAAATAGGCATCAATTAATACATATGATATGCTAGTTAGTTGTTTATATATTTGATTAAAAGAAAAGTAAAATATTAAAAGTTTCTAAGTTTATAGTTCGAAATGTAAAGGTGTACTACATAGTAAGTGTCAGTGTACAAGAGTTAAAAAAAACAAATATATATTAGAAATTATATGTGATATTTGTGATGTCGATTTGCATGTTTATATACGTGATAAATTATATTTTATTCAAAAGTATTGAATAAAGATACTAACAATATTATCTTCTAAAATATAGAACTATCAGTTTGATTTACGATAATTACGATTGAGGGGGATTAGAATATTTTTCTACATATGTATAACGCTTTTTTATAATTCACTTGCTGTGACAATACTTAAAGAAAATGAATAATATATATTCATTGACTAGTGTAATATCACATGTTTAAATTATAAATGTAAAATGTATAATCATTATTGTAATTCAACTTATGCAAATTATTTAATTATTCATATTCAGTATACTTAATTCATTTAATAAAGGTTATAAAGGATATGTTAGGTGATGTTATATGACAGGTGATAAAGGATATATTACTATTTTTGTTACAATACTATAAATTTTGGCTTTTATACATTTGGATTTATGCATCTGGATTTTATACATTTTTAGTTAAAATTACATAAATACTTTTAAATTGTTGTATTATACAATGCTTATTTTAATAGTAGTGATTTTAATAGTGTCATAATATATCAAACTGTATAGTACTGCATTTAAGCAATATTTATTGAACTAAAATTTCGATAAAGTGATTACCGAGCGAAGTGATTATATTGGACATAAAAACATAGTAAATAATCTATTAATGCGAGAATATTATTTATGAAAATATAAGTTACACTGACATAATTTTATGATTATAGGTTTTGTTTAAATATATTTTAAATATAAAATACAAAAGTTTTTAATTTTGTTATTGGTAAAAATGTTCATGATATACAAGTAGAAAATTTAATTGATTTATCTAACAGGCAACAGAATGATGTACGGAGTCAAATATTAATAAATTATAAATATGTTCTAAACAAGAAATATATATTTATAAGATATATTGATTGTAACTTTAATTGGTGATTAAATCAGAAAATAAAATAGTTTAAGAAGAAATTAATAGAAATGTACATGCTTTATCAGTCTGGAACAATTTACAGAATTATTATAAAAATTTCTAAAATATTTAATGTGATGAAATTTTAAAGTTTTCCTTATGGCTATTTGTAGTACAGTAAATTCTACAGTTAATTCTGATAAAAAAACTAAAATATTGAATCTTCACTTTTCATTACAACCTTAATATAAGATATTTGCTGTTTAAATATGTTTATGTGATTACATATTCTAATCGTTTCTTCTCTGTTGGAATTTTTGAAAAATACAAATTTTAAACGTCTACACATTTTAACATTTAATTCAACTACTTTAACCCGATTATTGTGCATAAAGATGTAAAAAATTTAATGTTTCTACGTATAGATTTTATATCTTCATTTGTATTATACACATATTTCATTAAAATAAATTATATTAGTTTAGTAATAATTATTTTTTAAATAGTTTTTAGGGGGTTATTAAAAAAATATATATAAAACAAAAATACAAATAATAAAAATCTGTATATCATTTGTACATATTTATTATTAAACAGATTAAAAATATTTCTATAATAAACTAGAGTTTTAGAATTAACTACGAGAACCACTAGATGTTGTGTGGAAGAATACGTGGGCAAGTGGAAGGGTTAATGGATTGATTCAATAATTAACACATATATTTCTTATTGCTGTTTATTTAATTTACTTTTCATTATAGGGATTATTGTTCTTGTTGAGGTTATAGATGAACTAAAGTTAAAAGATTATTATTCTCAATGAGGAATGTGGCGTAGAGGTGCAGTTCCGTTGGAGAACTAGAAAGTTGCAAGGTTCCTTATCCTCGAGACGTAATGGCTTTGATGGTAGATTACCCTGAGAAAAGAGAGAGGTTGTAAAGCTCTCGCCACTTCTTGAGTAGTGCCACTTGAGAAATTATGACAAATACTACAGTTTCTAGTCTGCGAGTCATGATCTTGGTACGTACTGCAATTTACTCTAAATAAGTGAGTCGTAATAAATGAGCACGAGCCTAAAATAAAGGTTAGAAGAAAGGGCGTGAACAGTTGGTCAAAGCAGTCAAGAAACAGGAGTCAACAATGTATATGATGTATTTTCTTATTCTCAACAACACTTTAGTTGAAATTGACCGTTTTACTAAACAACTCAAAACGCACTCTCTTAGCAGGGCCGCCACGGAACACGCCTTCAATTTCGTGTGTGCATTCAATTACATAACCGACAAGGAAAAGGTGTTGGCAGAATAAACCAACGGTATCATACGATAACGTATAATTCAGTTTTGAAAATAGTCAAGTGAGATGGTAGCAACCCTGACAACTAAAGGCTGACTCTGACCCCCACGTATAATGCCTGAATACACGAAGTGGTAGCCGGGAGAGATCAGCATTTTACTTCCACAAAGCATGGTGTTCAGGATTGGAGCACTTTCCAAGAAAATTAATTCTCGGAAATCTATAATAATTCTAAATCGCGAAATCATAAACATTGACTCCGAAATTTCTCGATCATTTTAAAGCCTTTGCTTGCGAACGTCCTGTAATGTTTATCTAGTTTCCGCATAGCAACGTTGTTTGAATTCTACAAAATTTGTAGAGCCTTGCTTCCCTAAAATTGTCGAACGTTCTAGAGCTTGGACTCTGACGTCATGCAAGAATTTTCAGCATAGCAACAATGTCTAAGTGTTGCTAGATAATGAAACTCACTCGAATATTTAAAGCAGCATTTTAAGCAAGCTTTTGCTTGAGTCAACTAAGAGGAGACGCGCTGAACTGCAAGGGGCCGCCACACTCTCGTTACTGTTCTACGGATGAGGCGCTGCACCTTTTGCAAGACTACTGTTCTTCGGATCTATTCTCCGGATGAGGTGCTGGACCTTTTGCAAGACTACTGTTCTTCGGATCTGTTCTCCGGATGAGGCGCCGCACCTTCTGTAAGCGGAGCTGTTCTCCGGATGAGGTGCTGCACCTTCTGTAAGACGTCATTGTAATAGGAGTTGTACTCCGGATTGAGGAGACAATGCGTGACAATTCGAGAAAAGGTGTATATAATACCGTTTTAGAACCATTTAAATGAGACTGTAGCAAGCTCCAGGACTAAAAATTAAAGGAATCCTCAAGCATCGTGCGAGGGAATTCTCTCAGTCTATAATCGCAAGCAGCGAGCCCAAGCGCACTAGGCGGTTGCAGGTTATCAGTACCAAAACGTGCCAAGCACTCAGAATCCAGACATACCATTGCACGCAGGAACAAGACGTGCCATCGCACTCAATGTTAAAGTGCCATTGCACTCACTCTAAAGAAGTGTCGCATTGAGGTATTAACCATTTATAATACGTGATATATATACGTTAAGCCTTTCACTCCACAAGACATCAAGAGGACTTCACCCACCACGTGGAACTACACCAAGGGGTATACGGAGATTTACGACTTCTCACTGTTCAGTGTAGTGACCCACTGCCAAGCGCTCTGTATCAAGAGGATCCGGAGATATTCGACCTCATAATTCGACATGAAATTCATACTACCACCATGTGGAAATCACCAAAGAACGGCAAGATCTCAACGATTCTCGTCATCAATGTAGAATCGTCATTATGTAGTTGTAAAATAAAACGCAATAAACAACATGCAAAGCAAATATGTTGGATACTGAATTGAAGCATTACCCTTTCCACTTAACCACACTTTTTCCCACCAGCAAACTGGTGGACATGGTCTAATCCAACCATCCTCGTCCTTCGACCACCGAGTGGTTGGAATTCCGAACATATAATATTAATGTTATTATATATAAAACCTCATAAAAGCTTTGTTCAACATTTTAAAGACAAATTAAGAAAAACATTTTGTTATAAGAATATGAATCATGGCAATATAATCAAAAGTAAACGATATTGAATAAATGTTTTCAATAATAATATTTTCAATTTTATTTTCAAAAAATCGATACGAAAATATTTAATCATATTTTTGTTGGAGCTATTGAAATATGTTTCATATATTTATCTCTATAGTTTATATTCGAAATATTTATTTATATATTATTCTCTTTGCAATCTTGCCAAATATTAAGGTTTTATTTATTTGGTTATATATATTTAGGTTTCTATTAATTTTCTTTGTCTTTAATGAATGAACTTAGTATAAAAAATATTAGAATACAATTTATTATTGATAATATAAATCTTATAATTGACAATGTAAAAATTTCCAATTTTTATGTTTTCAGATAAAAGTTAATTAAATAATAATCAATTCATAACATATAATTAATATTTAATTTTTTTAACAAGTAAAGTTTTTTTAATAAGTGATATATCTCTTCTTAAACTTATGTTTCATAAGGAAATTAATATATTATGAAATTGTTTTCTTTGAAAGTTAAAGAATATTTTAAATAAAAATGGATTATTCATGTATACATTTATAAAATTGATATATAATTTTAGCTGCGTTTCGTACAGAATTATACGTGCAGTATGTCTTACAATATTATATGCAACTGTATGAATGTTAAAATATTTTTATAAAATAGTTTTACATATTTTAATTAATTGCGTATAGATTTTATGTAATCGTAGAAGTAGTGAAGTAATTAAATGGTCAAATAACTAAATGGAAAAACAACCACTTAAAGTATATCATATAAAGATCTAATAAAGGACTAGGAATTCCTTGCAGTCTAATTGTAATATTTTCTATACTTAATTGGAAGCATGATAATAATAAGAACAAATCCTTTATACTATAATAGATACATAGTAATTAAGTCTTTAGTTTAGTCTTAAATATTTAAAATTTTAAGCAAATGATAAGATAAATATTTTTATTCCAAATAACTTTTGCCTTTGTAATTTATTTTGCTTTCGATAAGTAAATTAATAAATTTAAAAATAAGATTATAGAGTTAAACTATAAATAACAATGATATATATATATATTTATTAAAATAAATATATTAATTAAAAAAATCAATAAAAAATGTAAGACATGTTATATATATATATATATCATCATATACAACAATACATATACAGTGGACTTCCAATCTTTATCAAAATCCAATTGTTTACATTAAGAAACTTCATCATATACTTTAATATATCATAAATTTGCTCTATATAGTAATCAACCATATGAAACTGTATTATATTCCAATAACTAATCATAAAGAAAAGATATTTAAAATATGATTGTTATTTAATTATTTCTTTATAATGTTTAAAACTTTATTAATAAATTTTATTACAATAAAATAGAAAATATTTTAAATAAGCATTAAAATATTTAAAATATAGTCATTGGAACATATTTGTGTAGAAACATGTTTAAATTACTACACTGATAATTTTATAGCACTTAAGGAATCTAAAATGAATATTTTTTTAATATTATTTTTATATGAATATATATTTTATAAAAAAATTTATAATTATAAAGCAAATATTTCAGTTTTTATACTATAATACTGATATATATATATATAATGAAGTTAGTTCGTAATAACGAAAACATAAACTGAGATTTATGTTTCATTATAATACTTTTCTGTTATGTTTATCGATAAATTATGAATTTTATATGATGTCAAAAATTAATTTACCATTTGGGATATCATTTCCTCAATATTGGTCGTACGTTATATCGATAAAACAGTTTAATTTTTGCCTTTTAAGTCGCGAATCGATTATAGGGTATAATTAATAATTTCGTCCTTAAGAAATTAAGGGAAAAAGGTGTATACATACTTTATCTATGATGGAAACTTACGATTATTTGAGAAATTATTTTATCTACGATAATTTATTGTAAGATATCTATGAAATACTTGGAAAATTATTTGTAAACATATGAGAGATTTTAAATACACGAATTTATTTTTACAAACAATATACATAGAATACCAGATAAAAGATTTTGTATCTACTATTCGATGTATAAATAGAGTAATTATTTACTTTCGTAAACGATACGATAAATTTATTAACCGTAACCTTATTAACAAAAAATTTATTATAAATATGATTTTTCTTGTGTGATAAAATGAATCGCAATTTATAAAGACTGCTAAATATAAAGCCACAAAAGGAAAAATCTAATATTTATAATATTTATTTTTGAATTTATTGATGTACTTAAGTCTAAATTTACATATCATAAAAATTCTTTATACTTATTGCTTCATATTTTATTATTGTTATATATGTTAATATATTATTCTTATTATATTACTTCTTATTATTGAATATAGTTATGTTTAATTCTAAAATTTATTATATATTATATATATTTTAATAAAAATAATAAGTCATAGCTTCAAAGTAATTTAAATATAATTTTTGCATTTTTTCCAAATGTATAAAATTTTAAATGGTTAAGAGTTTTTAAAAATAATTTTCAGCTTTTTAATGCTCTTTCATACTACTTATAACACATGTATTTTTATTGTTATAATAGAAATCTGAATATATAAATATTAAATATAATGACTGCATGTGTATATATTATTTAGATTAATTTATATAATAAATATATTATATTTTTGTAAAAATTTGTGTTATATTATTATCCTATATTATTTAGATCAATGTATATAATAAATATATTATATTTCCGTAAAAATTTATTTGCGAGAATATGAAATACAGTGTATTTATAAATGTAGGGAA